TTACTCACATCTAGAAGCCCGCCGTGTCTCAACACCGTGATGAGTGAGTGGATGTGACTCTCGCTGGTAAAGTACAGTCGCGTCCTCACGTGGCGTCCAGGACTGGACACTCCATGCGAGTAGCGGGGATTCAATCGGTTCACCGTCTCCTCGCTTTCTTCGATGTTGCGCTGCAAGTCGGCTTTGATCTTCTTCAGCAGCGGCGTGCAAATGCCCTGCCCGATGGTGAGTTTTTCTTCCGCCGTCAAGCCGTATTCCTATAACGCGCCACATTGATTGGAATTGAATCGGCAGCCACACTCGCATTTACCTGCGGTATAACGATGTCGGCCAGGTACTTGGCGCTGATGTACAGCTCTTCAGCCTGCTCGAACTGGATGGTGTGCTGGTTGTGCTGCAGATCGTACTTGATGCAGTCGTAGATGTCCGGGATCTTGCTGATGTCGAAAGTTTTATTTTTCGTGTAAAAGTCCTTCTCGATCTTGCTCCAGCGGCGATACATCAGGTCCCACGACTCGCCGTGGTAGAGAATCGCTTCTAGAACCAAACACGCATCACTAGAAGACATGCACAAACCAGACAAACTGCGAAAGTTCACTACCAAAAACCATAGCAAACCAACCTTTGGTCTTACCATCTTCCTTTTTGACTTGCACGATCTCCATCAGCGACTTGATCAGTTCATGGACGTGCTTGCAGCACTTGTAGGGGTTCTTGACAAAGTCCAAGGCCTCGTTGATGCTGGCTGAGTTGCACGGGTTGATCCTCTCCCGGTCTACTGGCGAGAAATCGCGGTCGATCTGCATCAGCTCATGAAGCCGCGCCTTGCACCTGAAACGCCCCAAAAGCCCTCAAGATTGTATGCACCTTGCCGAACTTGTGCTTACATGTTCTGATATTTGCTGCTATCGCAGTCATTGTCCAGCAGCCCGTTGGTGTTGGCACTCTTCACCATCTGCACCAAGATGGGAGTGAGTTCGCCCTCCAACGCCAACAGGCCCTTTGCAAAGGCAGCCGCCGTCATTTGCACGCGGCCCTCATCGGACGCGTAGATTTTCAGGTCGTGCCGGTAAGTCGAATGCAAACGAAGGAGCCCCAGCCCCTGCGCTCCTGCATACTCTCCTACGAATCATATGCAAACAGAGCGGTTAGACATCTGCGGCGACCAATCGGATGGGTTGGAAAAACCGGTTTGTTTGGGTCGGTCCCATTGAAGCGACAGGTAAGCTGGTGTATGTTGGGTGCGTTCAATTAAAGCGTCTAACGTTCAGAAGAACTTACCTAAGAGTTTTGTCGGTTGTAACGCAGTCGCCCACTTACCAGTTGCGCCCAGTGTGAAATTGATGTTTGCGATAAAGACAAAGAATGACAAAAATCGTCATTTTTTAGTTTAGTTATTCATCGACTTTGCGATGAAGTCCGAGCCAAATTATCGTCGTTTTGTGCAAGGGTGGCGTAAGATTATTGCAAAATTTCATGTCTTCCGTCCCGTTTTTGCTCATATCTCGGAGGCAAAATGAGCAAGAACGCTCATTTGTACATCATTCTA